AAAAAAAAAAAAAAAAAAACACAAACTCACACACACACACACACACATGCGTGCGCTCGCAATAGAGAGAGAGAGAGAAGAGGGGGGAGCCGGTGGCAGCGGGAGTGTGAACGGGCGCGAGCGGGTGGCAATGGCCCACGAGAGCGAGAGTAGAGTGGGGAGCAGGCGGCAGCGTGACTAGACTGCAGAAACCGTGTGCCGACTGCATTTTCAAACTGTTTTTGTGACGGCCGCGTAGTTACCCCTTTTTTTTTTTTTCTTCTTTTTTTTTTCGGCAATTTGTACTTTTTTTTCTTTTTTTCCTTCTTTCTTTAACTATTTCTGTTTTTTTTTGCACAGAAATGCTGTTTCTTTTGGGAAAATAAATCAAGATCCAATCTAATCATCGATTCGATTCGATTGATTGATTGATTGATTGAAAGAATAATATAAAAAAAAAATGCAAGGGGAGGCTCGATGTCAACGTTGACAGCGTCGCTTCCATCCCTCTCCTCCTCCTCCTCCTCCTCTCCTCCTCCTCCCCCTCATGCTACTCATCGTTGTCCTCCTCATCCTCTTCCTCCTATTCCTCCTCGTCTTTCTCCACCTACTCCTTCTCTTCTTCCCCCTACTCTCCCTCCTCCTCCGCGTTGTTCTCCTACTCCTCCTCTTCCCCCTCCTCGTCTGCTACTCCTCCTCCTCCTCCTCCTCCCGAGGCCGCTCATCATTCGCTTCGCCCGTGTTCAACAGCTCCAGCTATCCTCGTCGTCGTCGTCCTCCTCTTCCTCCTCGTCTGCCTCCTCCTCCTCCTCCTCCCCTTCCTCCTCCTCCTCCTCCTCCTCCTCCTCTTCGACCTCCTCCTCCTCTTGCCCCTCTTCCTTGTCGTCCTCATCCTCGTCCTGTAGTTCTTCTTCCTCCTCGTCTTCCGCATTGCGGTTTCCCTCCTCCTCGTCGACAATCAATTGATCAATCACTAAGGTTCCAAACGAATAAGTTGATTCGATTGGATCTTGATTTTCATACAATCAAGATTCAATCTAATCATAGTAATCATTCGCTTTGCCCGATACAACAGTTCTTAGTCATCCGCTACTAGACGGCTCTATTAGTCTTTCACCCCTATATATCGTTTTACTCCTCCTCCTCCTCCTCTTCCTCCTTGTCTGCCTCCTCCTCCTCCTCCTCTTCTTCCTCCTCCTCTTCCTCCTCCTCCTCCTCTTCCCCGTCTTCCTCGTCGTCCCCATCCTTGTCTTGTAGTTCATCTTCCTCCTCGTCGTCCTCATCACCTTTACGGCGTTACCCTCCTCCTCCTCGAAAATCATCCAAACAGTCAATCAATCAATCATTCCAATCGAATCGATGGATTCGATTGGATCTTGATTTTCATTCAATCAAAATCCAATCTAATCAATCGATTCGATTGATTAATTGATTGATTGATTGATTGACTGATTAAAATAATATATATAAAGATACATATAAACGCAAGGGGAGGTTCAACGCCCACGTCGACAGCGTCGCAGCTGTCCCCCTCCTCCTCCTCCTCCTTCTCCACCTCCCCCTCCTCCTACGCGTCATCGTCCTCCTCCTCCTCTTCCTATTCCTCTTGTCATGGCGACGTCTGAACCCCCAGGGCGGTAATCATTTGCTTTACCCAATACAATTGTTCAACAGGTCCACCTGTCATGGTAACGACTGACGGGGCCGAACGAGGAAGAGGAGGAGGGCGAGGAGGGGGAGGATAGGGAGGATGAACAGGAGGAGGAGGGGGAGGAGAGGGAGGAGGAGGAGTAGGAGGAGGAGGTGAGGAGAAGTAGAAGAGGAGGAGGGCAGCTTGAATACGATGAGGAGGGGGAGGATAAGGAGAAGGAGGAGGAGGAAGACGAAGAAGTAGAAAACGAGGACGAGGAGGAAGAGGA